GACCAATCGAAAAGTTCGACATACATTTTTTGTTCGCTACTTTTTGCTAAAGACTTTGGCGGTATTCCCGAGTCATTATCTGGCAAATTTTTTTTTTCGAAAATTTTTTCCCATTTTTAGTGAGTGTAGCTCAGCATCCGTTGGACCAATCAAAAAGTGCGCCATACATTTTTTTTTCGAGACTCCCGGGTTAAGACTTTGGCGGTATTCCCGATTAATTATCTCGCAAATTTAATTTTTCAAAATTTTTTAAAAAATTTATCTGAGTGTAGCTCAGCATCTGCTGGACCAATCAAAAAGTGCGCCATACATTTTTTGTTCGAGACTCCCGGGTTAAGACTTTGGAGGTATTCCCGATCAATTATCTCGCAAATTTAAGTTTTCGAAATTTTTTAAAAATTTTTTTTAGTGTAGCTCAGCATCCGCTGGACCAATCAAAAAGTGCGCCATACATTTTTTGTTCGAGACTCCCGGGTTAAGACTTTGGCGGTATTCCCGATCAATTATCTCGCAAATTTAATTTTCCGAATTTTTTAAAAAAATTTATCTGAGTGTAGCTCAGCATCCGCTGGACCAATCAAAAAGTGCGCTATACATTTTTTGTTCGCTACTTTTTGCTAAAGACTTTGGCAGTATTCCCCAACGATTATCTCGCAAATTTAATTTTTCGAATATTTTTCCAAAATGTTTTTGTGCGTAGCTCAGCATCCGCTGGACCAATCTAAAAGTGCGCCATACATTTTTTGTTCAGAACTTTCTTCTAATGACTTTGGCGGTATTCAGGAAGGAATATCTCGCACATTCAATTTTTCTAAATTTTTTCCAAATTTGTTTTCTAGTGTAGCTCAGCATCCGCTGGACCAATCGAAAAGTGCGCCATACATTTTTTGTTCGCTACTTTTTGCTAAAGACTTTGGCGGTATTCCCGAGTCATTATCTGGCAAATTTTTTTTTTCGAAAATTTTTTCCCATTTTTAGTGAGTGTAGCTCAGCATCCGTTGGACCAATCAAAAAGTGCGCCATACATTTTTTTTTCGAGACTTTTTGCTCAATTTTTTGGCATTATTCCCGAGACATTATCTCGCGAATTTAATTTTTCGAAAATGTTTTTTAGTGTAGCTCAGCATCCGCTGGACCAATCAAAAAGTTCGCCATACATTTTTTGTTCGAGACTCCCGGGTTAAGACTTTGGCGGTATTCCCGATCAATTATCTCGCAAATTTAATTTTTCGAAATTATTTAAAAAATTTATCTCAGTGTAGCTCAGCATCCGCTGGACCAATCAAAAAGTGCACCATACATTTTTTGTTCGAGACTCCCGGGTTAAGACTCTGGCGGTATTCCCGATCAATTATCTCGCAAATTTAATTTTTCGAAATTATTTAAAAAATTTATCTCAGTGTAGCTCAGCATCCGCTGGACCAATCAAAAAGTGCACCATACATTTTTTGTTCAAGACTCCCGGGTTAATACTTTGGCGGTATTCCCGATTAATTATCTCGCAAATTTAATTTTTCAAAATTTTTTAAAAAATTTATCTCAGTGTAGCTTAGCATCCGCTGGACCAATCAAAAAGTGCGCCATACATTTTTTGTTCGAGACTCCCGGGTTAAGACTTTGGCGGTATTCCCGATCAATTATCTCGCAAATTTAATTTTTCGAAATTTTTTAAAAAATTTATCTGAGTGTAGCTCAGCATCTGCTGGACCAATCAAAAAATGCGCCATACATTTTTTGTTCGAGACTCCCGGGTTAAGACTTTGGCGGTATTCCCGATTAATTATCTCGCAAATTTAATTTTTCAAAATTTTTTAAAAAATTTATCTCAGTGTAGCTTAGCATCCGCTGGACCAATCAAAAAGTGCGCCATACATTTTTTGTTCGAGACTCCCGGGTTAAGACTTTGGCGTTATTCCCGATCAATAATCTCGCGAATTTAATTTTTCGAAAATTTTTCCAAAATGTTTTTTAGTGTAGCTCAGCATCCGCTGGACCAATCAAAAAGTGCGCCATACATTTTTTGTTCGAGACTTTTTGCTCAATTTTTTGGCATTATTCCCGAGTCATTATCTGGCAAATTTTTTTTTTCTAAAATTTTTTCCCATTTTTAGTGAGTGTAGCTCAGCATCCGCTGGACCAATCAAAATGTGCGCCATACATTTTTTGTTCGAGACTCCCGGGTTAAAACTTTGGCGGTATTCCCGATCAATTATCTCGCAAATTTAAATTTTTATAATTTTTTAAAAAATTTATCTGAGTGTAGCTCAGCATCCGCTGGACCAATCAAAAAGTGCGCCATACATTTTTTGTTCGAGACTCCCGGGTTAAGACTTTGGCGTTATTCCCGATCAATAATCTCGCGAATTTAATTTTTCGAAAATTTTTCCAAAATGTTTTTTAGTGTAGCTCAGCATCCGCTGGACCAATCAAAAAGTGCGCCATACATTTTTTGTTCCAGACTTTTTGCTCAATTTTTTGGCATTATTCCCGAGTCATTATCTGGCAAATTTTTTTTTTTTCGAATATTTTTTCCTATTTTTAGTGAGTGTAGCTCAGCATCTGCTGGACCAATCAAAAAGTTCGCCATACATTTTTTGTTCGAGACTCCCGGGTTAAGACTTTGGCGGTATTCCTGATCAATTATCTCGCAAATTTAATTTTTCGAAATTATTTAAAAAATTTATCTCAGTGTAGCTCAGCATCCGCTGGACCAATCAAAAAGTGCACCATACATTTTTTGTTCAAGACTCCCGGGTTAAGACTTTAGCGGTATTCCCAATTAATTATCTCGCAAATTTAATTTTTCAAAATTATTTAAAAAATTTATCTCAGTGTAGCTCAGCATCCGCTGGACCAATCAAAAAGTGCACCATACATTTTTTGTTCAAGACTCCCGGGTTAATACTTTGGCGGTATTCCCGATTAATTATCTCGCAAATTTAATTTTTCAAAATTTTTTAAAAAATTTATCTGAGTGTAGCTCAGCATCTGCTGGACCAATCAAAAAGTTCGCCATACATTTTTTGTTCGAGACTCCCGGGTTAAGACTTTGGCGGTATTCCTGATCAATTATCTCGCAAATTTAATTTTTCGAAATTATTTAAAAAATTTATCTCAGTGTAGCTCAGCATCCGCTGGACCAATCAAAAAGTGCACCATACATTTTTTGTTCAAGACTCCCGGGTTAAGACTTTGGCGGTATTCCCAATTAATTATCTCGCAAATTTAATTTTTCAAAATTTTTTAAAAAATTTATCTCAGTGTAGCTTAGCATCCGCTGGACCAATCAAAAAGTGCGCCATACATTTTTTGTTCGAGACTCCCGGGTTAAGACTTTGGCGGTATTCCCGATCAATTATCTCGCAAATTTAATTTTTCGAAATTTTTTAAAAAATTTATCTGAGTGTAGCTCAGCATCTGCTGGACCAATCAAAAAATGCGCCATACATTTTTTGTTCGAGACTCCCGGGTTAAGACTTTGGCGGTATTCCCGATTAATTATCTCGCAAATTTAATTTTTCAAAATTTTTTAAAAAATTTATCTCAGTGTAGCTTAGCATCCGCTGGACCAATCAAAAAGTGCGCCATACATTTTTTGTTCGAGACTCCCGGGTTAAGACTTTGGCGTTATTCCCGATCAATAATCTCGCGAATTTAATTTTTCGAAAATTTTTCCAAAATGTTTTTTAGTGTAGCTCAGCATCCGCTGGACCAATCAAAAAGTGCGCCATACATTTTTTGTTCGAGACTTTTTGCTCAATTTTTTGGCATTATTCCCGAGTCATTATCTGGCAAATTTTTTTTTTCTAAAATTTTTTCCCATTTTTAGTGAGTGTAGCTCAGCATCCGCTGGACCAATCAAAATGTGCGCCATACATTTTTTGTTCGAGACTCCCGGGTTAAAACTTTGGCGGTATTCCCGATCAATTATCTCGCAAATTTAAATTTTTATAATTTTTTAAAAAATTTATCTGAGTGTAGCTCAGCATCCGCTGGACCAATCAAAAAGTGCGCCATACATTTTTTGTTCGAGACTCCCGGGTTAAGACTTTGGCGTTATTCCCGATCAATAATCTCGCGAATTTAATTTTTCGAAAATTTTTCCAAAATGTTTTTTAGTGTAGCTCAGCATCCGCTGGACCAATCAAAAAGTGCGCCATACATTTTTTGTTCCAGACTTTTTGCTCAATTTTTTGGCATTATTCCCGAGTCATTATCTGGCAAATTTTTTTTTTTTCGAATATTTTTTCCTATTTTTAGTGAGTGTAGCTCAGCATCTGCTGGACCAATCAAAAAGTTCGCCATACATTTTTTGTTCGAGACTCCCGGGTTAAGACTTTGGCGGTATTCCCGATTAATTATCTCGCAAATTTAATTTTTCAAAATTTTTTAAAAAATTTATCTGAGTGTAGCTTAGCATCCGCTGGACCAATCAAAAAGTGCGCCATACATTTTTCGTTTGAGACTCCCGGGTTAAGACTTTGGGGGTATTCCCGATTAATTATCTCGCAAATTTAATTTTTCAAAATTTTTTAAAAAATTTATCTTAGTGTAGCTCAGCATCCGCTGGACCAATCAAAAAGTACGCCATACATTTTTTGTTCGAGACTTTTTGCTCAATTTTTTGGCATTATTCCCGAGACATTATCTCGCGAATTTAATTTTTCGAAAATTTTTCCAAAATGTTTTTTAGTGTAGCTCAGCATCCGCTGGACCAATCAAAAAGTGCGCCATACATTTTTTGTTTGAAACTTTTTGCTCATTTTATTGGTGGTATTTCGGATAGAGCTGTGCAATGTTTGAATCGAATTGTATTTTGTTCGGTTTTTAATGACCCTGACTCGAATTTTGAACTTTCGACATTCTAACTGGACTTACTGGGATGTCGGATTTTCGACATTCGAACTGGGCTGACTCGGATGTCGAATTTTTGTAATTCTAACTGGGCTCGAATGTAAATTTATTTCTTTTTATATAAAGGGTAATTAAAAACAAATGAATAGGTGTAAATTTTATTTATTTAACATGAAACAAGAAAACTTTGGTATAAAACAAAGTAGTTGTATTGCATTGACAGTAATTCATAGCTGGTTTTTCGAAATAGACATTAAAGTGGACGTAAAAAATTCTTCATATTTAAAACAAACATACCCTAAAGAGATCCATATGTAGAATTTCTCATAGAATTTATAATGTAGATTTTATATAAATCTACGAATTTGGTTTGTTTCCAAATAGACTTTGTTTTTGATAAAAAGAAATTTTTAAATCCACCTTATTTACGCAATGTTTTTTTAAAGTTGTAATATTTGAGAAACATCAGATCAAAAATTCACTTTTTAACATATTTCTAGTATTTTTTAATTGAAGTTGATAGTAAACTATAAACTACAATTAAATATTTGAAATATTGTGAAATTAGATTTGATTTTACTGATGACACTCAACAATTGTACAATATAGCACAAAAAATGTTGCCATGTACGAAAAAGTAAAAAATGGATTATTTTTCATTTTACTTTTCTTCTTTTTTTTTTTTTTTTTTGTAATCGTACAATTACGCACTAAGCAGCTTAAGAAGCTATATTTTTTATAAGATTTATTAGCTGATAAAGTAACTGCATTTTATTTAGTTTTAAGCCTAAAAAATTTCTTTTTTTTTAAAGCGGCAATTTCTTTTACTGACGATGCATTCACGATGAAATATATTTTCATTATTTTATCGCGATAATTATACAAATTACAATATACATAAGTATAAGTTAAGAATTATTTAAAGCAATTAATGATTAATTATTTTCATACATATATAAAATACCGACAAATACAACACATAAACAAAATACCAATGAACTTAATATTATTTTCAATTTTTGATACACATCTAACAAAAAATGTAAAAAAGAGACAATTTACAGAAAGTGATAGTTTCAATTTTTTTTTTTTCATTTTATATACAATTTTCGTCATTTATCATTAAATTTGGAATTTGAAATTGGTTAGGATCAATCACTTTGATTTTAATATCATCATTTCATTGTATTTTGCAACATTATCAGAAATGTGAAAATGCCGCTTTACTTATATTGATATAATAAGAACGGTTAGTCGTATGGCAGTTGTCTAAAATAAAACTATACTTATCAATTTACGATATCCTGGGTATATTTTTTTCGAGTACACTATATAAATAATTCGACGAATTGAAATTGAAAATAAAATTCATAGAAAATTGAAATTTTCCATGAATTTAAATTTAAATTTTCAAATTCGACAAATCAAGTCACGTGTATCTTTTTTTTTTAGTGCTAGTTGACTATGTTTAAATTTTTTTCTGAGATTAATCGTGTGTTTTTGTTGGTATTTTGTTTTTTTTTAGATTCAAACGCGATAAGCGAAAAGTTTTACGAGTCTTACACAAATCGTAAATAGTTTAGTTTATAATATTATTATTATTTTATTATTATTATTATTAATATTATTATTATAGTTTTGAGTACTGCTATATCTAATAGCACAATTTAACACATATATACGACACACAAAAAACTGCGCAGCATTAAAATCACATCGATGACAGAGGGTGCGTCGTCGCAGCCACCCCCAAAACACCGATCGTCAATAGTTTCTAAAATGGTTTTTAATAATTATTTCAATTATCAGATTAAATCTTCATACAGTCGTTTAACATTTGACATTGACTAGCTTTCATTTTTTTTTTTTTTTTTTTGTAAAGAAAGAAAATTATTTTTATTATTTTACGGTAAATAATTATTTACTAAAAAAAAAATATTGAAATTTTTTTTTAAAAACTAGGTTTCATATAATTAAAAGTAAATAATTAAATGAATAAATATTAAAGTAATGTAATTTTTGACCTTAGGAAGAAAAAATATAAATTACAAAAAAAAAATTGACAAAAGACTACAATGAAAATTTTTCCTTTGAGAAGGGAGATTTTGAATCTTTCTTTCATTTGTTGAATTTTCTTTTTTTTCAAATGAAAATAAAATTCCAAAAATTACACCTACTTCTCGCAGAAAGCAAGATTTGTAGCCTTCTATAAAATTTGTTTTCATTTTGACATTTACATTTTTTGTTCGGAAGATAAAAAAAAAAAAAGAAAATTACGAAGTTGGAAGCATGTTTAGAAACATTTTTCCAACATATTTTGTGCGAGATACTTCGGAGAATTTGAAATATTCTTACTAGCCTATAATTTAGTACTCAAATAACGTTATCAAAATGGCGAATTTAATATGGCGGAGAAAAAAAATTTAAAAATTAGTTCAATATCAATAAAAATTATTAAAATTTTTTTTTTAAAAACAAGATTTAAACTTCTCCTTCTCACAGAAAGCAAAACTTTTAATCGTTGTCCTAAGATATAAAAATGGAGATTTTGTTCCAAATAATAAAAAACAATAATTACTAGACTAGGTCTTTAAAAAATGATTGAGTTTATATTTGCTCACTAAGAACAAAATTTAAACTCCTCCTTCTCATAGAAAGCAAGGTTTTCATTCCCAGTTCTAAAATACAAAATTGATTCAATTATAGTAATAATAATAATAATGTAATAGGAACTTTTTTTCGTAACATTTATAAAATTATGTTGATTGCTTTCGGAAATAAAATTGAAGAGTACGGCACTGAGAGTATCATGGCGGATTCAGACGTCACGTGACTAATTTTATTCATTTTTTCCCCGCCATATTGGATTCGCCATTTTAATTTCGAAATTCGTGATCGGCGATCCTAAAATTAAATAATTTTAATTCTTATACAAAAAGAAAGAAAATCAATGTCGCCAGTTTCTTTTCAGAATCTTTGTTTCTTTTTTTTTTTTTAATCCGACGCAAGAAAATTATGGCTGCCGATCGACGCATGGCACATAAACAAATGTGACATCTACATTATACTTATATAGCCTAGCAGTAATACCATTGTAAAAATGACCTATGAGCTTTGTAATACGCACGACGTCTACAATATTTTCACTGGTTTTTCTTTTTTTTTGGTTTTATCTGAACAATATTAATTTTTTTTTTTCGCGAAGATAGCAAAAATTTTCTACTATCTAAAAAATTGTTCTTTGGTTACATATTTTTTGTTGTTGTTGTTGTAGTGTTGTGCATTTTTATAATTATCGTAGACATCGTTGTGTAATACTAAAACTCGCAACCATCTGTTCGATTAAAGTTCTGAGCTATCTACGCATACTCGTTATAATTATTTGCATTTTGCGGAACAATCGATTGTATCTGTGAAATAATGTTCATCGCAACCGTACAATGCTCTAATATCACAAAGTAGTAACGAGGATGATTTTTTTTTTTTTTTTTTGTGTAAATATGAGCATAAATTGTACGGGCTATGACCGTATGACGGAGTCATCTTTTTTTTTTTTTTTACCACATGGTGATTTTTTTTTTTCATTTTCATATCATTCGTCGGAGACACAACCTTCGTTACAAAATTATAAATCGTTGGTCTATAAATCACGGCAGTGTGATAGAACTATGAGTTAAATATATAGAAACTAAGTGAAACATCTAAAAAAAAAAAAAAATTCGGACCCTTAAAAATTGAATTAAATGCAAAAAATTAATTGAATATTAACAATAAATATGCTTGATAATTCATTTTTTTTTGTAAACATTATTTAATTAACGGAAGAAATAATTTAATCTTAAAAAAAAATGAGCAAATAACATAATTTTCAAAATTTGTACTGCAAATCTTTGAAAAATGCAATTTTCTTGATTTCATTCATTCGTTGCAGTTTAAAAATTACTTAAAATGGAACTTAAAAAAATGAAAAACTCAAGTGGGAGCATTTTACACCTTGCAGTTAATATCACAGATACATAAATAATAGAGAGAATTATTTTCAATTCTTTAACACTGGGAGATGAAAACTTAAAAAAAAATTAGTCTATAGACTTCTTTTTGAATCTATAAGAGTTTTTTTTTACAAATAAATTAACGTTCAAAAAAACGTTTTTTTTTTTAAAAATTGTTCAGTCAAATTTTTCAAAAACTTTGTTTGATAAAGAGAAATATCAAATTTGTTTGGCGAAAGGGTACCGAAAAGGTTGTTACTTTTTACGTTACTATAGATCTTCGTCTATGTCTTTATCGATCAAATATAATTTTTCGACAATAAATATTAATCTTATTAGAAATTCTAATTCGTCAATTAATTATAAATGTAGAGTTAAAATTGTTTGAATTTATAGTTTAGTAGTACGTAGTAGTAGTAGTAGTAGTAGTTTTAGTGAAATAATAAAATTGGGAAAGTGTTTTATTGGGTATATTAATATACCCGTAAATTTTTATATGATCTTATAAATGATCATATTGAAAATTTTGAACAATCTACGTAAAATTGTACATGAAGAAAAAATTATGTTTCACTTCAATTTGAAAGATGGAAGACGATAAGCGTTTTACAGATTACACTGCCACAGTATCGTAGGGTGTGAGGAGTCCCCCGTGACTACTGAGGGCGGCGTTGGTTTGCCTGGAGGGTGCTTCGTTTCTGTAAAAAAAGGAAATTTATTAATTAATACATTTTTCAAATATAAAAAAAATTTAATATATAAACTAATATGTATTCTAAAAGATGAGTAAATTCTTTATTTACAATATGATGGCTGTAACAAATTTTTTTAATGTATTGTATACAAAAAACTAAAAAGGTTTTTTTTATTGAAGCATGAAAGTTTTAAAATGTTCAATAAATATGATCGCTTATGGTGATTCAGGGTTTTGAACACGAAGCCGTAAAAAAAATTTCTCCAAGAAACAAACAAGAATTTAATTTTATGAAAAGTTTGTCAGGCACCAGACGACATAAGGTAGACAGTATTTATTTATTATAATAAAATATTTATTTAATAGAAATTCTTTTTTAATTTTAAATGTTCGTCGGCATTTTTTAATTTTTAATAATTTTAATCTCTCAATTCTAATTTATATAATATATAATAATAATTATATAATTTCTATTAACAAGTAAGGCCCAAGAATGGTGCCCATTGTCGGCACCGCGTGCTTCTCGCTGAGATTCTTCAACGAGACGCATGCGTCCAAGGCAACACTCCAGGGACGCAACAATAATCAAACGTCCCCTGAAAGATGTAAAAAAAATCAAAATTTTTTTTGGAGATACATTTTTTTTTTAGTATAAAATGTAGATCTTCTTCAATTCAATTATTTAACAAATTTTGAACTAAAATGATTTTTCACTAAATAAATTATTTTTAATAAATTTAATGAAATACATTACAAATTCAATTATATCAAAATTATTTTTCAATTAAAATTTTTATGAAATTTAACAACTGTTTATAATTTAAAAAAAAATATATCACAATAAAATTGCATTATTTTTTAAAAATTTCAATTCAAAATAAACTAAAATTCAATTATTACACGAAATTTTAATTCAAAATCAATTAAAAATCCAATAATTATCCAAAATTTTCAATTCAAAATTTAATTATTTACCAAAGTTTTCAATTTAAAATGAAATAAAATTCAATTATTTTCTAAAATTTCTATTCCAAATTAATTATCCAAATTTTCAATCAAAAAATGAACTTAAATTAAATTATTATCCAAAATTTAGATTAAAATTCAATTATTTCCCAAAATTTTCAATTCAAAATGAACTGAAATTCAATTATTTTCCAAATTAAAAATCAAATCAAATTTCATTATTCTCAAAAATTTGAATTTTCAATAATTTGAATTTAAAAGCATCTAAAATTTAATTATTTCTAAAATTTTCCATCGAAATTTTTTTTGTTTGAAATTTAATAATGAAAATTATGGCCAGTGTGTTTCATGTTAAATAAATTTCATGTCAAGTGATTTAGGAATGACAGAAATTTTTTTTCTCACCCAATAATCGAAATTAAATTCGCACACAATTCATTTTTAACAGAATTTAATCTCTTCTAAAGTTTTTAAAAAATTTTTCTTAATTGTAAATTACCAAAAAAAAATTGCTTTCCAATGTTGAGATGATTTTTAATAAAACGGTTATTTCCTATTAAAAGTTTAAAAAAGCAGTATAAACATTTGGGTATTAAAACACTATTATATTTATAAATTCTTTTTAAATTTCATGATACCTTATATATTAGTTGAAAAGCATTAAAATATGTTTTTTTTTTGACTAAATTGCAGTTATTGGATGAGAAACAATTTTACCTTGGTATTTCGTATCCAAAAAATGAAAATAAATTTTCAAAAATAAAAAAAAAAGTTGATGATGATGATGAATATCTTTTTACCTGAAACCCCTCTAAATGGTAAAAACAATGATAATATGAAAGAATTTTGTATTTATGGTCCTATAAATAAATAATTTATATATTAAGCATTAGATGATGGATGACTGAGAACTATATATGAATTATAATATGAAATTTTTACTCTATTTAGTATTTCTCTAAATATACAAAAATGGAATGAATTATGGATGATTATAAATAATGACTGTGCAAAATAATTAAATTTGAATTACTTGAGGATATGTGAAAAAAAATAAAATTGTGATTTAAAATAATATAATATACATTTAAAAAAAACTTTCTTCGTGCAAAATCATAACTATTTAAATGTACAAGTAGAAAAACGTGAATAATACAAAACATGCATTTTCAATATATCTTTTAATATGTCCTAATTCTAATATTAACTTTCATTGCATAATTTGTATAAGCATATGAGCATATTACTGTGTAACATAATTGCAAAAAATTGATTAGGCAAAATTAAACCTAACAAAAATTAAAAACTTCTAGTGCCTGTTATTTTAGGGGTTTCAATAGGTAATAATTTATTAAATTTCTTAATGGAAATTATTGTAAAAAATAGAAGATGTACTTTCTTTTGGTTTTTAAAAAATAATTAAAATAAAAATTATACAACATACTAGTGCATTTTAGTGAACACAAAAAGTGCTTATCTCAACACATAAAGCAAATTTTTTTTTTTAAATTTTTAAAAGAAATTGTTTTTAAATATTTCTTTAATTGTGATGAATAAAAATAAATAACCTGTAAATAATAAAAATAAATTCTGCATTAAAAATAAGCATTACAAAATTTTAGATGTTATTTTACAACACAAAAACACACATGGCTATTAAAGCAAAACATAACATTGTTTTTAGATATAACATAAAATCATTTCACCGTGCACTACTTAAAAACGATAAAAAAATTATGAGAACTAAGTTTTATACTAAAAATTGTGTAAAATAAATTCAGATAAATTTTTTTTTTTAATACAAATAATATAAAATTTACTTTCTTTAAAATTATATTAAGTAAATTTGTGAATATTTTTAAAAGAATTTTATCAATTAGTAGAATTTTGGTGCAAAATATGAAGAGGTAAAAGACTTTTTTTAACATAACATATTTTAAACATATTTATTATAATATATTATTAATATTTTAATTAATATTAATATTTTTTACATTTAATTCAGTTGAAAAATTTATAAATCGTTTTGTAAAAAAAGTAGTGCAAATAAAAGGAATAAGCAAATGTTAAAATTCAATTAAATATTTGTTATTTTTTACTAACCTCTCAATAAGTTTTCTCATTTCTTCAGTTGACATACCATCCTTGGTTCGTGAATTCACTGAAATAGAAAAATATAAAATCCAATTCACAAAACTAGTTCTACGACGACACTAGCATGCAACTTAATTGCTCGTTCAACATTGCTGCTTTATATAACATTACATACGTGAAAGAGACAAAACGATAAAACGCTAATTTATGTTAAAAATAAAGAAATTTTTTTTTAAAGCTGATAAAATATTTAAATATAAATATATAAATATATTTATTATATATTATATACATTTACCAAAAAACACCCGAGTAAAAAAAAATCAAACTATAATTCAATGAATTTTTAAAAACTATTCCAAAAATTTTATCTAACATTATATAGTTTAAAAAATTGATACTAGATTCTTAATTAATTAATAAATTTATAATTTTCACTGTTTTGTTATAAAAAAGTATAATATTTTCATGTAAAAATAAAACCCATAAATTAGCGTTTTCATCTACTTAATAAGAAAAAAAAGTGGATTGACGGGATTTTTTTTAAGGATTGTTAAAATTGGAATACTTTAAGGCTGCACTTTATAATTAAAAAAAAGGTTATTGCTGTACTATGCACTTTTTCTGGGAAGATTAGTTCTCTTTGGAGAATTTTTTTTATCACAAAAGTAATATGTCCAAGACTTAATAATCAAGTCCATTTCATCTGTAAAACATAAAGCAAATTAGGAACAATATCACGTTCCGTTTAGTGTCTCAAATACATTTGTTTAAAAAAAAATGTCATCCATTATCACCTAATGAAGAATAATATTGTTAAAACGCAACAAAAAAAAATTAATATAAAAAATATCCTGAATTTGTTCCAAAATTTCGCATATATAAATTTCAATAAATAGTTCAAAAAAATTTAAACAATTTGCTGAACAAATTTTATAAGAAAATATAAAATAGAATCTATCAATCTTTCCGAGTCAAAAAGGAAAAAAATTAAAACACAATTTTTAACGTTTCGACGGTACTACAGAACTGCAAAAATTTACTATTTCAATGTTACGCCAATATTTATACACTACCGTCCGAAATTGTGCGAACGCTTACACCGCGAATCATTGAAAAACATACTCGCGTGAAAATAAAGATAACTCTGAGAGAAATTAACGTAGAGACTTCTCTCTTATAGCGTTGGAAAGCTTATTAAATTTCGAAAAAAATGATACCTATTTGAATGAGATTGCTTAAATAGGTTTAAATATATCATGTTACAAAGTTGAAAGAATAATTGTAATTTTTTGCTTATTTCCTACCTTGACTTTAACCTCTTGCATAGTCCAGGAAAATCGACGAAAAAAATTGTCCTTTAACATAATTATTCCTTGAAATCTAAGCTTTCCATTGATTCCAAGAACAATAAAAAATGTTGACGGGTTTGCTAGTAATTGAAAAAAAGGACGAGCGTGCATGAAAAAAAATTCGACCGTCAATCGCTCGATTTTCCCGTCTCGCTGCCTTTTTTTTTGCCTTTTTGTGAACATAAATTATTTGTATAACGCGAAAGATATCATAATTGTGTTATAAGTTAATTATACAGTTATTAAAATTAAATAAATGTAATAAAACTTATATATTTCATTATTAAAAATTTCAATTTGAAAAACTTATACAATGTTTTTGGAAATTGAATTTTATGTTTTCAAATTATTTTTTTACAGTCAATAATCGAACACATAAATTTATTTTTACTCGGAAAGATTAATAGATTCTATATTTTATTCACTAAACGAGTGACAACTTCATTATCTTATATTTATAAGAAAATAATCAGTGGCAGAAAATATTTTTGTAAAAGTATACTAGAAATTATTTTACATTGTGAACAAAAATAATTTCAATTAGGCATTAAACTTTTCATCCAAGGTTTAGGAACAAAGCTTAATCTTTCATTAAAAAAATATTTTCCATGTAAAATACAAAGACAGTTAGTAGCAATTAGCAGTTAGTGACAAAAGTTTTGTTTGTTAATAAACAAAGAAAAAAAAACGATTGATTAATTAGCGATAGATAAAGGGATGTTTTAGAATATAAATTTGCATTCTTAAATTCATCGCAGGAAAAACAGTACTTACCGCCATAGTTACGATTAATTAGTTGATCTCGATCGCATTCTGCTTCGCTAATTTCATTACTTTCTTTGCTGTCATTGAAGTTAGAGCTATTGGGATCGTGATTTCTTGGTGGAGGTGGTGGTGGTTCAGGTGAATTTGACATTGGAAGATTGCGAGCTGATCCAACACTACGACGACCAACTGATCCACGAGAACCATAATGATCATAAGGAGCTCCATATTGTCCATATTGAGATCCATATTGATCTTCTTCGGGAGCACAATTTGCCGGATCATCATATTCAGGTGAGAAAACATTAGTCTGCATACTACCGCCTTGTGATGGTACTCGTGAATAACGTCCACCATTTTGCCTAGGCTGAATAAGATTTAATATTATTATTTTATATTTGCTAATTTCTGTTAACATTCCTATTTTTGTTGTTAACAGAATTTAGGGATTTAGAAATTTTCCGCATTTTTCTCGACTGTTTTTCAATTGTGTAATTTGTTAATAAATTATTTTTGCCATCCACTTTTCATAATAGTAAGGGACCCCATGATGCTAAATGGAGATTTTCTCGAGCTTCATTGAGACGATAATATTTTATAGCTTAGATGATGATGAAAATAAAAGGTTATATAAAGTTTTCCCTTTCAGTGCTGCGTTAAGCGTATAAAAATTTTCAAAAATTTAAAAAACACAATTACATGGAAATACTTGAGCGTGTAAGATATAAATGTATGGCGCCATTGAACACTGAGATTTTTGGACTGTTGCCGAGAACTGGCGAAGAAGTCCGAGCTAGAACGAAGTGTTTAGTGTGATGATGCCAGCCGAGACACGAAAACATACTTGTCAAAATCTGTATTAAATCTTATTTTCTTTTTATGTTAATTTCGAATTATATATTGTATCATTTATATTTAGAATGGCGATAATATGTAATATAGTTTACAAGTAATGAAGCGAAACTGATAATTTTATATTAAGATAATGGAATATATTTTTTCATTATATTTGTGTAATCTTGTTTAATAAAAATTATAATAATACAAGATTGTGTGTTATAAAAACGAGTAACAAGTGTATTTTTAATAACAAATTAGATTCAAATATAATATAATATTATTATCACATCACATCATATAATTTTCAAATTTACTTAAATTGGTATCTGTTAAAAACTAATTTAATATTTATATTCAAATTAAATATATTATATTAATATTTCTATCGCAATCAATAAAATATTTCCATTTAATACATAATTTTTATTGATGATAATGAATATTTTCCAAGTAATAAATATTAAGATTGAAAAGGCCGATAAAAGCTTATTTCCACCGAGCTCGTCCGAAGTTAAATTTCCATAGAATGAGTACAGACGCAGTGACTGGCAATCAAGTCGGCAGTTTCTCTAGAAATTTCAGGTAATCTCGTAGTAATCCCTACAGGTAATCGCAAAGAAATCTGATAATCCCAAACAAATATCGAGAAATATTACAAATCAACATAAAAATCTGATACAGATTATCGTTAGCGATTACTGATTACTGAAGTGAATTTCCCCTCGAAATCCTCTTATTGAAAAAACTAACATTTCGAAAGTAACGCAAGGTCCTAGCGAATTATTGAAAATGCAAAAAAATCGCCATCTTGAAATACTCGAGCATGTCAGATTTTTATACAGATGGTTTAGCTTGATGCTGCAGTCATGATAGCCCAAAATCTGGCGATTATTTTGAGGAAAATTGTTAATATGACAGAAATAGGGGAAAAATGAAAAGGAAGATGAGGCACGGAGTATAGGGAATGCGTATTGTACTCCAGTTGCGCGCTCTGCTCTTCATAGACGATTTTCATTACTTTATGCATCAGATTATATTTTATTCGTGATTCTTGTATTATTTCCTGCAAATTAAAAAAATTTAACCGAAGAATGTCAAGACAGCGTCATGTTGCAAATTTTGTAACCCTTACGTTACCCTCAAATCGTCAGATTTTTTGAATGTTCATTTTTCTGCTAGTAATTAAATAAACCTTCCTTAATCGGACGCGCATCAATATCTTCAACTATCGATTTTTCTACTAATCTGATGGACTATTCTAAACGCACGTTTTGATAAAAAGAGTTAATACTTAGAAGAGGTACTCAATAACAGGCAAGGTATCCCTCCTTTGTTCATCTGCTGCGCTCAAGTTAATTCCAAAAAACACATTGGGCTACCCTTACTATAAAAAATCGGTCAATCTCAAACAAAGGGATTGAAGGTCTTTGAACATTTGTGTACTCCATCAGCTTGAAACCCTGGTGTTTTAAGCGTGAACACGTGCTCAATAAATTACGATATTTTAATATATTTTTCTATATATACTTACCATAGATTGAGAACCGGAACGGCTGTGTGCAGATGAATTTGTAGGATGTCCCACTGGTGGTCCCATTGTACCAGAGTGTCCATTACCAGGATGAGGGAAGGTTTGGAACTGCATAGCTTTACTAGGATCCATTTCCTCACGGAATCCCAAAAGATGGAAGGTTGCGTATGGGCAAATTTCATCTTCCATACCTGAAAAATTAATTTATAAATTATAGACACAAGTTTTTCAAATTTTATGTACAAAAAATATATAATATAAAAGAGAAAAAACTGTTATTTTTTTTGGAAAAAGTGTTAGTTTAGAGTACTTTATTACATGATATGTTTATAACTTAAGCCCAATTGGGAAAAAAATTCATAAAATTTTTAATAAATAATTAATATAGAGAAATATTTTAAACTAACTAATTAGTGTAGAAATATTTATACATTCAATTTGGAATGTTATATTAATGAATTTCTGAATGTTGTATCTGAATGTGAGTGTGCGTGGTCTTATGGAAATACATTGAATATATGTTTACAATGATGCTTCGCATTCAAAGCTTCCATGCGGGATTTTTGAGTATTTTCTAATTAAAGAACAGGAATTTTTAACCAGGACTTGGATTATAACCATTTTATTAATTTACTTATGGATTTAACTTCGACAAAAATCATCATTAACTTAATATTTTTTACTTTAGGGAGGAATAAAGCTAATCTTTGTTTTGTAACGCGCAAAAACTTTAGCAGACGATTCTGTAGTTGGTCTAGGTATAAGATTAATCAGTATATTTCAGTAGATCTGTAATGGACTGCGTAGCAACTTTTGTCACAGATATGCTTCCGGGTTTGGGTATAAGAAGCGTTCTGACGGTCAAGGGGACATTTAATAATAGATTGATGAAGTAGAAATACTGCATCCTCTTCAGCTGAAACCAACGAATATTTTACAGACCGTTAGCGTTTCCGGGCGTGAGCAACACTCAGGTCGTGGATGCAAGAACTGCCAAAAAGAGAGATGTCCTGATCAAAAACGGAGAAGACTCCAATAAGGAGGCATTCACCGCAAAGGTCACCAAAGCGGTTAGAAGCATGGGGAAGATGCAGACCGTGGATCTACAGGTGACACTAGAGATCTGCGACCTGGATTGTCTTACCTAGGAAGAAAAAGTCCAACAGGCGTTGGCGGAAGGGCTCCAGAAGCCAGGAAACAGAAAGGTGACGATCCTAAGACCCAACCGACGAGGAATGAAGCTCACGGTTGTAGTGATCGACCCAGAGGTGGCGGACAGATTGGAGAAATTAAAATTAACTGCGTGCTTCAAAGTTGATCATAAGTTTGCAAACTGCAGTAAAAGCACAAACTGCTTCTTATGTAGAGAAAAGTATGACGATAAGGCGAGCATTAGCCATAACGTAGGCACCGGAGAATGCGGAGTCTTATGGTCGAGGATTTCAAGAAGACTTTCCCATGAACGAAGAATAAATAGGCCAGAATGATCAGCAACGGTAAGGGTCGCGAAAGCGAAAATCCAGGGACCAGCACCTATAAAGTTTAAAGCTTGACGGTACTTCCGTAATGTGAGGATTAGTTCAGCCAAAAGGTGTGGTTTTTAGTGGGTCGACCAGAACAAGAAAGATCACCCCTACATATAATGCAATAAGAATTAGCGAAGAATTATATTAGATAGATTTTAGTCTACAAGCATCTGACTAAAGACTTTATTAAATCAACTAAAGCTTCTTCTATTAATGAGAATTCAGCAATAAGATATTTTATATATTAATAAATTAATTTGCAATCAACACTATAGAAGATAATTAAAATTACATGCGGAGAATTGCCCAATTCTATATACGTTTCAGCACAGAATTTACAATAAAGAATCTTCTTTTATTCACGAATTCTGTTCCAAAAATAATTGATTTTTTTCATTAAATTAAATAGAGAATTATAAAGAAATTGATATTAAATTTAGTATATTATAGCTTTTTCTAATAATAAAAGTTAGGATATAATAAATTTAATTATTTATATTCTTTATCTTACATTACTCCAAAGGTCCATTCTGTAATAATCACAAGTATTACTATAGTCAAAAATTCGTTATCTTATGTAGAAAATTTTATTTTAAACTCCGTAATTCTTTAGTCGATGAAGATAATTTGAATCATGCACATAATTAAAAATTTGTATATATTATAAATAAAAAAGCATTGATTACTTTAATATTATTAAAATTTGTTTAATTAGCTGAAACAATGATAAAATGTTAGCTATGAAAAGTAAATCCAATACATAAGGGTAAATAAACCAATTATTGATATTTTTAGAGATTTTCACGTTAAGAATAAAAAAGAAAGTTAAAGAAAAGATAAAGTAATAGATAATTAATATTGAGTTTTAAAACTATATGTTAAAGGATTTAAACCCACATTCAATAATTATTCCTCTTCTACATTAGATTTGAAGAAAATTATTAATTTGATTTTTATTAACGAAATATGATTTTTCTATAACTAATGATTTTTTTTTACATAAACGAGAGCGAACATGCGAACGTGCAACAATATGAAAATGATGGTAATTCCGTGCAAAATTTCAGTTTAGTCGATCGGGACTTACTTAGTAACTTGTGCGGTTGCACCAATTAGTTGCAGTTTTAAAAAATTTATAATAGAATATGATATTAGGGCAAAAGTTAAAGTTATAATAGAAATGTTCATCAACTAATATGTTAAACATTTTTTTTATTATATTTATATATATTGAAATATGAAAGTCGTAGTATCCTTGAATATCCTTGAAGGTGAAACTGTAGGAATGCTTCCGGGAGAAAAATAAAAAAAAAATTAGTTACTAACCTTTTCGTGTTAATACATCGGTACTGCTCATATGCGGTGGCGGTGGACATCTTCTGTTTGGTGGATAGTGACTCAATTCCTCATACATATGTCTTCTTGGATCCCATGTTGAATGGCTTCTTATTGAGCCAGGACCACCTGCCAAATAAACACTACAACAACCATTCTACTTGCTATAGCCTACCAACACTTATTTCAGCGCGTAACATTAAATTGTCTTTTAATTCTTACGATTCGTTGTATTTTATTTGACTCCAGAACCTTGCTCACCAGCTTAAACTCATGAATTTTTTTTGGGTCACAATTTGTAAATAACTTTGAAACATGTTAAGAGGTGGAAAATTGTCTAAACTGTTAAAAATAGAAATTATTAATCTTTGAATCATGAATGTTTTATAATTAACTTGGACAATTTTGTAATACTTTACCTAAATCTCATTTAACCTAAATTTCACTTGACATAATTCTCATTTAATCTAAAACTCACATATTCTAAATCTCATTTAATCTAAAATTCACTTGACCTAAATTTCATTTCACCTATTGGCGATTCAAACAGCTACACTAGCGCCACAGTTGAACTAATTTAAGCGTGACTCGCTCTGTAGCACTTGTCGACAGTATGAAATATGAGTGTGTATTGTAAAGAGTGGGGACTATTGCACAGTCCTTTAAAACTAATGCATAAGCAGGTGTGGTCAGATTAATTAGTCGCTACTCAAAGTGATAGCACGGTTAGTAAATTGTCTTCCAAAAAGACTCAGTGAAGCTTTGGAAGGATTGATTATCTCCAAGTTTTTGTACTTTGCTTGTTAAATAAATAAAGTAGAGTTTGTTCTCAGTTGAGTACCCAACTCACAAAAATAATATTATTAGTTGCTTCTTACGGCGACAACACACTCCATGTGTTTTAAATTATTTTTTTTATTTAACGCTTAAAAATTATTTTACAAATTCAATAAAAATATCAGAATTATTTAAATAATTTGAAATAAACTGTCAAAACAGAGATTGCTTTAGAGCGAGTCACGCTTACGTTAGTTCAATTGTGGCGCTAGTGTAGCTGTTTGAATCGCCAATATCTCATTTAATATAACTCTAATTTATAATCTAAAACTAACTTTATATAAATCTCAATGTACAGTTAGTTTTAGATTAAATGAGATATAGATTAAATGAAATTTAGGTCAAGTGAATTTTAGATTATATATGAGATTTAGAATATGTGAGTTTTAGATTACATGAAAATTATATCATGTGAGATTTGGTGGAAAACTCATGCACCTCCAACAGATTGATGCTAAATTACTATTTGATTGATCATCAACAAATATAATTCATTTTATTGTGTGCAAATAAAATTTTTCTAGAGTCGACTAAAGAGTCATTGAGAAATTTTATTTCATCGACGAATTCTTCTTCTAAAATGTTCACCCTTAAGCCCCCCCTTTGAGATTTTCTTGCCGGAAAACTACGTAAATTGTAAATTAATTTTTAATGATGTCTATTCTTCATTAAACTTGAGTTAATTTTTTTTGGGATGATATTGTTTGTTAAATTATTACTATAGATTTTTATTATTTATAAATTACCTTGGTATTCTCGTTTTAGTATGTTTTGAAGAGAATCTTTATATTTTCGACTTCTTTTGTTTTCTCTGTCTTTTGTATATATTAAATAAAATTATTTGCTTTGCTTTGCTTTTTTTAAGTTAGCCAAACTGATGAAATATAAAGAGGGATTTTTGATCTAGAATAATTTAAATTACCCTCCCTTTACATTAGTTTAAGAAAACGTAACACGTTTAATGTCATTTAATTTTAACGGAAATTTAAATTCTTAAATATATGAAAAAAGAATTCTATAAGCATTTCAGTATTGTTTCAAGAAATAATTAAAAATAAGAAATTAATTAATATCACATGTGGAGATAAAGTTAATGGAAATGCTCCTCTAAGGTCAGATTAAAATTAAGGAAAACGTACTTAGAATTTATATCCCTATTTTGAAATTTTCTAAAAGAATTATTCCTAACTTTGTCCAATTATAAAACAGATATTTAAAAAGTAGTAAAATATTTTCTTTTCCATACTCTTAACATGTATAAAATGAATATAAAATTGAAATTGTTATATCGGTGATAAAAGTGTTATGAAAAAAAAAAATTAAAAAGCAAAGCAAAGTATTTATATAAACTATATTAATAATAATAGTAAGCGTGATTCTAGCAAAAAACATGTGACATGATTGTGAGTAAGGATGGTATATGTAAAATGTAATTTATATAAATACACATGGAACAAGGCGGAAAAATAGAAATATTTTCATCCATGCGTATGTATAATATAATGACGCTGAGACCGTATATATATATATATATATACTACCTATAAATTGTCGTTTCTATTCACTCAGAAGAAAGAACGTGCTGATGCGACAATTATGATATATATAATTAAAGGTCATCATTAAAATTATTAGCTGGTTGGGCTTACTTATGACTGTACCTCTCTTGATACGATCACACGTATTGTAGTTTGATCCTGGAACTGGTGGTAATTTCCGATTAGGTGGTGCAATGTAGCCAAGTTCATCACGAAGATCAGGCCTTCTTTTATCTAACGTTGTTCCCACGACACCGGTTTGTTGATACACCACATCATCTAATGTAAAAGGAAATTCATATCATTAAAAAGATACTTCAATATCAGATAAAACTTCTTAAGACTTCAATTTTTTCTAGCACAGAAATAAAAATATTAAAAAAAAGGTAGAATTTCTATTAATTCACTTCCAGCATTGTCAGTAAAATCGATTCACCATTTGGAACAAAAATTCCACAATTGGATTAACAATCGATCTTACTGTATGTTTTATCTTTTTAATTTTTATAAAAAAATATTCCTGTACATTGTCCTTCGTAATATTTTTCATCAGCTGATGAAATTCCTCTAAGTCGAGTAGTTTCTGGTCCACCAGCTCTTCTGGAGAGAGCAACGCAGATTACAACAATTCCTACAATAATAACAACGACAGTTGCTGCAGCTGGTACAATTACATTGATGTCAAGCCATTCAGGTAAAAAGGAGAATATCTTCTTTACAGCCAAATCATTGGTTTCACCTTCGACAATATTTGCTTTGCCAGCATCACTTCGAAATGGTGGTGCAATTGTACCTGTTAAATAAAAAGAAAAACAAATATATAAATATTTCTCACCTTTTTCATTATCGTGACCCTTTCCTTTGAGAACACAAATTACAATAATTGCAATTATAATCACAAGTATCGCTGCGACAACAGGCACAACGAGATTGAGATTTGACATTAATATTTTCATTGGGTCTTCATTGTTACCATTCACCACTTCAGGAAGTTCGCGAGCCGGTGCAATGGTGCCTGGAACAAAGAAATAAAAGTTTACCAGTCACCTTAGCACCGGCTACGCGAATTTTATTTTTTTAAAAAAATAAAAAGGTTTTAGAATATTAAAAGCAAAACAAGAAGTTATTTTTACACTACGAGGAACAGTTTTGGATTAGAAAATAAAAATTAAAAAACTTTCTGAAGTGGCTTAATTCCGATTTGTTTGGGAAAGTTATTATTTTTGTTTATACCTCCAGTTACTGTTAAAGTTGCAAAGTCAAATTCTCCAACTTGAAATCCTGCATTATTATTTGCTGTCACGCGTAGTTGATACCAAGTCGCAGGTTCTAGGTCTAAAACGACAAAGTTTCCTCCAGGTTTAACACTATTTGAGACTTGATTCCATTCAAGTTGATTTCTGAAAGTAACATTAGAGATATTACAATTTTCATAGTTTCAATATTATTAAAAGTTAATGTAAAATAAAATTACTTCTTTTTATGCTCAACAACAAAATAGAGCATTGGACATCCTCCATCGGACCAGGCATTTAGATGTAGAGTTATACTATTAGTTGAGACTTCGATAAATCTTGTTGCTTCAGGTACACTTGGTTTTTGTCCTTTTGTGCGTATATTTAATATATCAGACGGTTTTCCTGTGCCAATTCTGAAATAAATAAAAATACAATTAACTATAATCATCTCGGTATTCTTTTGTTTCTTTCTTTTTGTACGAAACGATGCTGTATTTTTGGTGACAAGAGAAGTGAAAGAAATTTATTTACACTTTTAAAATTATTTGTTGTTCCGTATTGAAAACGGATTTGATTTAAACAAAATTAATTGATTTAAATACAAAATTATTGTGTAATGATAGTTAGAAATCGGCCGGTAAATATTTGTACTAAATATTATCGCGCGTCGATAAACATGTTACCGACCGCGGAGCACAAAGACGTAGTACCCGATTTCGCCGCGCGGGCCGCATCGCCAAAGCTCACTCGCATGCGCACAGCCCACCGATCGGCTATATAAGCTGCGCTCTCGCTGAGGACCGTCACTCTTTTAATAACAAACGCTTCTTGGTTTGTTACCAATGCTCAACTTTATAAAGATTTAAAAATTCCCACCGTACGCAAATATGGTCGTGATTTGGCACTAAAACTGTTTAATCAAGTTGAAAATCATGAAAACAAGATTCTTCAAAACATACTCAAATATAATCCTAAAGACTGCCGTCCTCGACGCTGGCGCCCTCGCATAGTAGAAATACTTGATGAGGGTCTACAATAATTTCTAAATAGATCATCTTCAAGGATCCAAATTTCCTTCAATATTCGATATCAAGGGTAAAGATGCTAAAGCATCAACCTAAATATTTATTAGAGATCAAAAGCAAAAAGCAAGACCGTCACTCTCGTGCTACACGGAGTTCGGGTGGGTCTTACCCACTTGACTAGGAGTTTTACTCCGAAAATCTTTGAAGAGAGATTTACTCTCGTTCGTCGGGTTTTACCCGTCGAACATTATATCGGTTTTATGTGTAAATAGTGTATAGTAACGAATTGTAAAAGTAATGTTTCGCGATGTAAAGTAACGTAATGTATAGTAAAGAAATATTGTATTCCCGCAGTTTGAAATAGATTTTCCGTTCTTTTTACCGTTTTTAGAAATACTTAGAGTTTTACTCTTCGTATAATTAGATCTACGAGTTTTACTCTTGGTATAATTAGATCTACGAGTTTTACTCTTGGTATAATTAGAACTACGAGTTTTACTCGTAGTTCACTAGAATATCGCGAATTTTTAGGCAGTATTACAATTGATTTCACAGCTCATCGCTGCGATTAGAAGCCGATTTCGTTAATGCGCGGCTCAAATAAGCGACGTTACCAGATTGATGCCGAATCTCGATTCCGCGGCTCAACGTATCGCGATAGACGCCGACAATCGTTGTGTGAAACCGACTTCCGCGATTTATCTGTACACCTGTATATTTTCGTCACCTGTAAATACCGTTGTAAATAAATTTCTTGTTTCAGTTTGTAATTAACCCGTAATTATCCTGTTATTATTTTTGTTGGAATCAAAACGAACCATGTCTCGGCGAGCTAAAATATTGATTCTTACAATTACAAACGTTACAATTGTACAGATATGTTTAAAATATTTTTAAAGTAACACTAAACTCACCCATTGTACGCAGTCACGTAAACCTGATATCTAGATCCACATAAAAGATTTTCTAAAGTATATTTTTGAGTATTTGAACCAATTTGAACAGTTTCCCATTCGCCAAACTCGAGTTTATAGTGAATTGTATATCCATGAATTGGAGCATTATCACCAGAAAGAGGGCGAAGTTTCAGTGTCAAAGAATTAGTTGTAGTGGCAGTGAGCTGAACTTGCGGTGGTTGAGGAGGAGCTAAAATAATATTTAACATTTAATTTTAGCTGCCACGAAAAGAATATTTTGTTAACGCTTTTTTGGCGATATTTACCATTAACTACTAATTGATGAGTAACAGTGTCATGTCCAAATGAATTTTCCACATAACACGAATACTCTCCAGCGTCTTCTCTGTCTACTTCCTTCAGGAAAAGTGATCCTTCTGGTAATTGTCTAAGTCTGTCGTTTGGTTGCACAGCATCACCACCTCGATTCCATTTAACTTCAGGAGCTGGAACTCCAACAGTGAGGCACGGTAGTTTAACATCTTCTTTGTATGTAGCAGTAAATTTATCATCAAATGAGGCAATTTTTGCAGGAACTGTAAAAAACAAAAGAAAATAGAATGAGAAAATTATTGAATCCCCAAAGATCATTTTTCGGAAATTTTTTCCCACAAAAATCATTTCCTAACGGAATTTCTAGATTATTATTATTATTTAGAATTGTTTGTAAAGAAAAAAAAAATCTTACCACTAACACTCGGTGATAATGTAACAATTTTCGATGCTTGTCCCTCGCCAATATTAGTACTTGCTGTCACCCAAAAATCATATCTACGCTTATCACTTAACTTGACTGCTTCGTGCGTCAATTGATTGGATGGTACTTTTTGACTAATAGGCTGTTCTGAATCATCAGCTTTGGTATAAACAGTGTATTGGGAAATAACTCCATTAGGTTGATTTGGTGGTCGCCATGAAACGAGAATAGAATCGGCGGACATGACAAGTGCTTTAATAGCAATTGGTGCTTCAGGAGCATCTTGTTCAGTTTGGCAGTGAATAGGTGCAGATTTAACTCCATCACCACCAGAAGTAAAGGCAAGTATTTGCATACTATAATTGGTGTATTTCTTTAGACCGTGGAGAATTGTTTCACTAGATGAAGTAATCTTTGTATCTTTTGTATTTTCGTCGTACCATGATTCTGATGGTCCATAAATAATCTATAATCAAATTAAAATTCGATCAAATTGATTTTCTACCAAATTAAAATTCGATTAAATTGACTTTCTGGCAAATTATTATTCTGCTGATTAAAATTATATCAAATGTAACTTCTAACAAATTTGTTTTAGAGCTTATTCATGTGTCCCAAATTATTTATGTTTACATTACATTTGGTTTTAAACGTTCTTAAATAAAAATATACCTTATATCCAGTAATGACTCCATTGGCAGCACTTAAAGGAGGCGAAGACCAAGAAACACGAATTGTTTGCGATGTAAGTGTAGTACATGTTGTATCATGAGGTGGTTGCTCTGGTACTCCTTCAGCAGTATGTTGTCTTCTTTCCTCACTCATAGGACCTGATCCAACCTTATTAAAAGCTTGAACCACAACACTGTATTGAGTATATATTTTCAAATTCGTAATTTGTAAATGATGTTCCTTTCCATCCTCTTTCGAAAATTCAACTGTTTCAAACATATATGGCTTTTCAGAAGACGATAGTCGATATCCCACATAATAACCCAAAATTTCTCCATTCCAATCTTCTCGTGGAGGTGGTTTCCAAGTTACTTTTAGACTGTGTTGATCAAGAGCTTCAACTCTAACTGAACTTGGTGGACCTGAAGGAACTTCTTCGGCTGTAATTATTGTTACTGTATCAGATGGATCAGAGGTACCAATTTCATTTTCGGCAACAATTCTCAAATGATATGTTGTAGCTGGCTTTAAATTAAATACGCCTGCGACATTCTGTTGAGATCCTGGAACTACAACTCGATCAATATCACTATCCCAGGATCCTTTACTGATTTTGTATTCAATAACATATCGTTTAATTGGACTGTTTCCATCATAGGGAGCTGCCCATGATAATTGAACTGATCTTCCAGACTTGTCAAGTACCTTTAAGCCATAGGGAACTTCCGGAACCTCTGAAATTGATAAATTAAAAATTTTAAATAATTAAAAATCTAATTTTAAATTATTTTTGAGAAATGAAAATTAATTAAAATACCTTGTACAATCATATTGATGCTTGTATCATCGCTTCCAAATGCATTAGTAGCAACGCAGGTAAATAGTGCAGAATCACTTCTTTCAGTTCTCTTAATACTTAAATCAGATAAAACCCCATTAGCCAATATTTCTTCTCGAATAGTGTAACGTGAATCACTTTTTGGGTCTAGTCGTTTATTATTCATATTCCAAAGGATGCCAATTGGCTTTTCTCCTTGAGCTTCACATTGTAATACTGCCGGTTCACCACGACGAGCAGTTTGATTACGTAATTTAATTTCAAAATGTGGTGGAGCTGAAAAAATATCAGTATTTTAAATTAAAATATAAATTAGCAGATTAACATATTAATTAAAAATTAATTTGTATTGATCGGTTTTTATACCTTGTACTGAAATGAGTATTACAGCGGAAAGTCCAGATCCTATACCATTTACAGCTTCACAAAGATAATAACCTTCATTTGTCTTTTGGATATTATTAATCGACAATGTTCCATCCTCAACACTTATATCAGGATTATTTAATTTCAAATCTGTGTAATCGCCAGGCGTGTCTCCTATAAATTTAATGAAATATTGATAATTAGCAAATGATATATAAATACATTGAATTTATTTTTAAATTGGAATAACCATTATTGTGTTACAGTATTTATGAAAATTTTCAAAATTATTTTAATAATATATCAGAATTATAATTGTTTCTCACCTGCAGCCCTCTTCCATGTGACTTGAGGCTTTGGGAAACCGTCGGCTTTACATTCTACTCTTGCATCAGAACCTTGAGCAAAAGCTTTATCTGTTGGTTCAAGAATCCAACGTGGTGGCACTAAACGAAATTATAAATTTTTATTATTACTCAATACTTTTTTTTCTTCTTTTTAATTCTACAACAAATGATGTATTCGTTAACTGTGTATCGAGTCAAATTTTACAATTTTGATATACATATTTACATAAAATTAATTTTTACAATTAGTTAATGATGATTTTTTAAAAGTTATTTCATAAAAATCAATACAAAGAAAGAAAGTGCATTTATAAATATTTGATTTTCTTTTAACTCATTCAAAAAATTAGTTCACTGACAAAATGTGATGAATTTTAAAAAAGAAAATATTTATTCACTATATGCACTTGCCTTAGACGAATACATTATTAGTTTTGTACTATTTAAGAAACTTGGCATGCAGAAGATTTGAAATATTTATTAACATGCAAGCTACATGTAAATTAAAAAGCATCTTTTTATATTTTCAATAAGTTTATAATTATTAACAATTTAATACAACATTAATTTAGAACAATTTTTATAAAAGTCTATAATTTCAATTAATTCAGAAAATTTAAGATTTAGATTTTGTATATTCAACTTTTTTTCTGTTAATAATAATCATGCATTATATTAAAATTTTCAGTTATTATTGAAGCATGCAACTACTTTCTAAGCAAAAAACATTTATAAAAATAAAATTAGGTAAAGGCTGTGGTATTTTTTTTTGGTACAGTTGATGGAATTATATGGGATAAGGTTTTGGATGGAATTGATGAAAGCGAGATTAATCGACTCCACGCGCGGTACTTCGAATAGATTTTTGCTAATTGGAGATCCTAATTTATTATTCAATATTCTCGAATGATGAATAAACTCAATGTAAAGAATTTTGAAAACATTTTTCTGAGTCTGCCAAATTTAGTATCTTGATAATGGTTTTTTAAAAATGATAAAAAAAAAAAAAAATTAATTCGGTAATGATTAATGTTCCGAAAATAATTTTTATTATACTAAAATTAAAAAATAGAAATAACGCATTAGATGTAACTTTATATCATCCATAATGTTTGATCTAGAATAATGCCTAGGTTTGAAGAAGTGTATCTGACACTGGAGAAATAATAATCCTTGCCCCTTTTTTTTAATAATGGAAAATTTATCTAAAGTATTTGCCTTCTAATAATCTTTCCTTTTAACCCGAAGAATAATTTTCTTATCTTAAACCTTTTATAAACTCTCAGCTTTTCTAATTTTTCAAAATAGATAAACAAAAGGAGTGATAAAAAAAAAACTTTTAGAATTACTTTTACTTAAAATATTGTTGGAATATGCAAATTAATAATATAGCCTTAAATTGAAAATTCTTTTAAACATCTCAAAATTAATGGGTTTTAAATTATTCATAAATTAATTTTATTAACAACAGTTGAACAAAAATTGAAAAAGAATTGATACATCAGTAGTGTACAATAATAAATTTGATGCAATTGTCAAGCAACTTTATCCACCTATCAAGTCATGTACAAGACGATTTTTCAAATTATAACACCTTTTTTTTTTTTTTTTTTTACAAATTTACATGTTTGCGACAAAAAATAGCAATTTGAAAGCAGCAATAAAAAAATTAATGGAGAAAGGGAAACCTGTTGAGAAAATCAGTTATTATATTTCATTAAAATTTTCTAAAGTATCGAAAAGATGTTTGCTTTTTTTCATATAAAAAAAATATTTAAATTTTTTTTTATAAATCTAATTTATATACAGAAAATAATCAGACTAATTAATTATACTTTTACAATATTATCATTGTATTATTATAAGCCAAGTAGCACATAATATTGAAGTAATATTACCATGCAATATTGGAAGATTTTTTGCTTTTAGATCAAAAAATCTCGTTGGGAGGAATCGAACTCTGAACTTTTGGCTCACGAATCAGAAGTGTTAGCTAACAAACCAACCTGACTTGTTGCAAAATTTTATTATTTACAGTAAGTTTTTTACAGTCTTTAAATTGCCAAGCTAATGCAACTTGCCTTTGCCAGGCAAATACTGATTGGTACCCAAATTGTGCTAGCTTTAATGCTACTGCTTTATTCATTCAGGCAGTTAGTGCTTGAATCTCCGGTTATCATAGCCTTTTTTTCTCTCAGTGTTCCAATAATTTTTGGTTCGGAGTTCAATTCACAAATAGCGTGATTTTTTTCTTCAAAAACAAAATGTGTCTCAATATTACATTTCACTGTGATGTTAGGATAATATTACCTGCTATTTGTAAATTAAAAAGAATAACAAAAACAAAATTTTCAAATCCTTTAAAATTGTTAAAAATCATATCAGTAATTTGATTTCATCAACAGGAATAAAAAAAGAAAATGAAACAAGAGAAAATGACATTACCATCCAGAAGCAATTTTTGAAAAAATGAAAGATTAGCTTTTCAGAAAGCATCAGTCATCCTAACTACATCAGTAATCTCGCCCTAACCATGTACTCTTAAAATAGCCTCGTGCTTTGCCTTTCCTGACGGATTTACAACGATACACGCGTAAGTTCCACTATGTTCTGGTGTTACTGTTTCTATAAGTAGAATACTAGTTCGTGGTCCTAGTTCTCCAATGCTGTATCCTTTGAATTCTAACAAAGGTTGTTTCTCAAATGTCCAATTAAAATTTAATGGCAAATCGCCAACTGATACCATACAAGCTAATTGAGCCGCCTGTCCCGCATATATTGGTTGATTTCCAAAATCAAATGGATTGATGCGTGGCTGAACTGAAACGCAAGGAATCAGCTAACAAAATAATTTTTTTTTTTTTTTTTAACATTTCGCGATGAAATTTTCTTTTCTAAAACTGTATCGATCTGCAATATTCAGATAATTAATCAATACAGGATATAAGGAGAGGATTTGGATAAAAATTAAATCCAAGATGAATAATAAATGAAAAAATAAGATTTTAAATGAGTAATTCATTTAAAAAAAAAAAATGGTTTCATCAGCTCAACTGTTTATAGCTCATACGATTAATTAACTAGCTGCCTAAGTTACAATAACATAGAATTGAATTTACAACACGGAAATACTTTGCGGAGATGTAGATGAATAAATATAGATACACAGGTTTCAATCAAAAAAGCTGAAGTAACAAATTTCATAATCGAAGGACGTAAAGAAGCACCGCAAGGCCAACGCAATTACGATAAATTACTTTTGTCTACTCTGCAGACTGAGAATATTTAATTCCTTTTAAACAAACTATTTATCATCGAATATTAACTTATACAAAGTGCTCAAGGTCAACTTGAATTGAGTTAAATCCAAAAGTTCTTGCAAATTTTTTTCTGATATTTTTTTCAGTGATGCTTGACGATTAGTTTATGGATATTTCTGGCAAGATTACCTTTGAATTCTTTTTTTTTTGTTTGCTGAAGAGATTGAGACTTGAATTCTTTGTTTTATTATTTTTTTTTTTTATTCAGAATTTATTGAGAATTATTGTTATTGATGCTAACATGGACTCCTCGGTGAGTCAACACTTTGTAATTTATGAAAAATGTTATAATTTGTTTTGTTAGAGTAACCCTTATCGATTTTTTATAACAAATTTTAAAATCTATGAATAAAGTAAATAAAAAATATGTTATTTTTAAAATTCATAACCGCAAAACTAATGCAATAATAAATAATAATAATAAAAAGTTAATAATAAAAATAATTCAATGAATAAAAATAAATAAATTATAAAATTAAACTGTTTTAATTATTATTATTAAAAGGAAAACTTTTTTGAATTAAAATATCATTATCGTAAAGATTATTATTATTAATTATTTTTCAAAAATATAGGTTCAATTTTTTATAAGAAATTTTAAAATGTTTGAATAAAGTAAATAAAAAATATACATATTATTTGTAAAAATCATAACCTCAAAACTAATGCAGTAATAAATAAAAAAATAATAATAATGACAGTAGAATAATAAAAAAATATAATAAATAATAATAATAATAATAACAATGAAAGAATAATAATATAATGGAATAATAATATTAATAATTAATTATATTGACTATATGCTTGAGTCTATTGAACGATTAATTTAATTAAGTATTCGTCCTCGGTGAAGTACAGTATCTGTACTCAAGACAAGCACAACATCCGTTTCACATTTTAGTACGGCATCCATCACACAGTTACGCTGCTGCTGCGCTCAACTTGGTGTACAGATGCTGAACTTCTCTATTTCAGATTCCGTGCTTTTCTTTTCTCAGTCCATTATTTAATTATCCTTAATCAATTTTTTCATATTTTGAATCATGAAGCATCACTAAAACCAATAGCAGAAGAAATTTAATGTGCAAAAACTTTTTTAGTCGAACTCAGTTCATCGTGTGTTATTGACTTTAATTGTAGTTTAATATTATGAAAGTAGAATTCATTTGTTTGTTTTAAAAATTTTACATTACGACAATATAAACGGACTCTTGAAAAATGTTTGCAAAAGTACCGTTTACTCTAAGATGAGCACTGTGTCTAGCTCGACCAGCCATATTGTCTGCTACGCAAGCATATTCTCCAGCGTGTTCACCTCTTACTGAAGGTATAGTCAAAGTAGAAACTCTATTTCCCATCGCAGTAATTTGAACATGATCGTTTATATTCAAATGATTTCCTTGAAATAACCATTCTAGTTCAATAGGCGTATCGCCCTTTAAAACTGTACAGTGAACTATTATCAAATCTCCCGTATTAGTACTCTCGTGAAAGTTGAAAGGCTGCAAATGCGGTGGTACTGTTGAACGTTCAGAAACAATAAAAGAGTGGCTTAAAACATTTTGTTTTTTTTTTTTTTGGTGAAGAAGGTTGAAATAAAAATTTACAAGAATTAATAAGATCTATTTCTTGATAACCTAGCACGCAAAACAATTGGAGGAAATCGAAGGAAAAGGAGAAAAATAAGGGTCAACATCTGTTCTACGAGTTTTTTTTTTTTTGAAATTAAAGCACCATTAACTATCAGTTCAGCCGATAGTTCATGTCTTCCGGCAA